AGAATGACAACATGAACTTATGTCCATGCATATTGTGCGGAAATTTAAGGTAAATTTTCATAATCACAAATGATTAGGGTATCCAAATCATTGTGAGCCAATTGGAGTAAAATCCAAGCAAAGCATCATTAGAAAATCTACTAAAATATTTGTTGAGAACATTGCTGCCTTAGAGGCAATAATAAGGAAGTTGTTAAATGGATAGTTCGTTGTTAAACTTTGATGATTGTAGATTGTCAAGTTGAACATCTCAAATCATGAAAATGAGTGGGAGCCATCATTTGGACGATAAATCCTAAATCACATATAATCCATAACACTCTCGAATCTTATCATCTTATTATGAAAGTTTTTGATGATGAAGATGTTAAGATTTGCAAATTAATCATAACTACACCTATGTAATAAGTGAACCACAACATTCACAATTGCATAAAAGAAAACAAGCATATTATATATGGGTGAGATTTCTATAAATGTTTTGTAAAGAGTATTACTCTTAAACATTTGGTGAAAACCATTTATCATAAGATGAAACGTTGAAAAGTTTCATAGTGGAATAAAATTGTTTTACTAATAATTCCACAAAGTATTTAATTATGGTTTAGAATTAAATAATGAGTCCATTCGATTTGACCATATTCAAAATAGAGTATCAAGACAAGTCTTGGATAAAGAAACACCTATTAAGTGAACGTTGAATATCACACCGAAATTATCCCTAATCGAGTCATTTGAAAGTTGGACGACTAATGACCGCATGAGATTAGTGTGTAGTATGATTTATAGCACCGTTTTTTATGCTACAAGGACAAGAATGTCATAAATCATTTGCACATGTATTGGTTTGGAACTATACCGGATCGACCTATGAGAATACTTTAAGAGGTTTAACAATCGTCATAAGTACATTATTCATTATGGCTATCGGAACCTCTTTCCTCAACCATGAGTATTGCAAGTTCTTTTGATTGAGTAATTGTTTTGATGTTGTCAAACGTCTGCCGTATAAGGGGATTATAAAGGCAACACTCGGGCGGCTAGGGCCTCTTAGTAAGGGAAGCTAATAATGCAAAACTAGGAATGTCCTCCTATTAATAGTAGGGAACATGTCTTTATTGTTTACAAGGCCTCTCAAAGAGCGAGACTGTGAAAATGCATGGCTGTGCTCAGATGGATTTTAGAAATCATCTGCTTATTGACAGTCGAACTCGGAATCAAGAAACACTTCTGGACGTAATAAGGATGACGAAAAGTCTTACCTTATAGTTCACGAAGAGACATTAAGTGACATAGGAAACAGGCTATACACAAACAACACACTTGTCCGGAAAGACAAGTAGGAGATTGAAAGGAATGGTGTGCTTTGAACAAGTGTATTATTCCGATAGAGGGTTCGGAACTAATTAGGAAAGCTAATTATTCAGTGAGGTCAAGTGATCGGATGCCTAGCTGGAAGCCGCTTCCGATCAGTATTATTAATGTATATTAATATTACAGCTTAATCTTGACCGAACCCTTCGGGTCACACCCAATCGTGTAACCAAACCGAAGCGACGAATTAATCAGAAGGATTAAATGAGTCAATATAGATTTTACGAACTAAGACGTCGAATTTCGAGCTTAGAGCGTCAAAAGTCGAGTCGAATTTAGGAATCGACTAGATGGAAAAATTAGTCAAACAACAAGTCAACGTGCACGAAAATCCTAGCCTAGCAATGGCCTAGCCATACGAGGGCTGTAGGCTAGCATGGCTAGCTGAGTTTCATGTCGTAAGGCCAGCACTGGTCGCAAGCCGAGCTTGGTGCGCGTACGCACAACTTAGGATTGTTGGCTGAGTGCGTGGCGCTAACACTAGGCCACCAGCATCCATGCAAGGTGCAGCCTACTAGACAGCCTAATGTTGTCGCAAGCTCGCGCCCGCATGGTCTGCTAGCAGCACACAGCAGCCTGCTAGCTAGCGAGGCTTGCTAGTGCTTGCAGGCAAGGCCGTTGGGCTTGCGGCAAGCCAACCAGCAGTGCATAGCAACCCAGCTAGCTAGCGGTGGGCTTGCGGTGCGTGCAGGCCGGCCCAGCCGAAGCCACAAAGGCCTTGATCGGCCATTCCTTGTTGACCAAGGATATTGACTAGTCTTACCTTATTGTGATTGGTGGGTTTGGTGGCTTGGGGAACAAGGAGGCCTTGGGGTTGTCCTTGTACTCCTCACCTACTCCCTTGCTCACCTTATACCACTTGTCGTTTGATGATTGTCTTGCCATTTTAATTTAATTTGGAGTTAAATTAAATCTTTCATTTGGCATTTTACCAACTATCCCACATTGAAAGATGATGGGAATTCTTGTGAACATTTCCCTATAAATATCAATCACTTGGTATTGGGAATTTTACTTTAGTTGGTGAACTCTAAGGGATCTCCAAAAGCGAGAAAACCTTAGTTCGTAAACGCTAAGTTATTTTTGGTCTAGCCCCTTTAAGCTACAAGGAAGGGGCCGGTTACGGGTCGGTAGCGAGGGTGTGAGCCGTCGAAGGTTTTCGCACTTGCGGAACTTGAAGCTTTCAAGTCCGAGCTCATCGGTTCAGCAAAGCACGCTTCTAGGGTGAGTATTCTTTCTCTCACTCTTCTCTTGTGTTTGTGTTTTGTTTATTTGCATGCTTTTGTTTATGTTGTAATTATTATGCATGCGATCCGGTTATCGCGTTTTGTTTCGACACCGCAAAGCCCAACCATCTCAACAATGCTGCAATTAATATGTAATGAGTAATGACAGATGAATTAACGACAAACCCTAGATCGTAAAATTAATTATTTCAATATTCCAACATGGAACCCTAAATTAACTACATTGACAAGTAAGTTAACCAAAAACGATTTTGTAAAGTTAATATTCGATGATTGTTTAAAAAACATCATACCTCATGAGCCGGTTAAAAGGAAGGAAGAAAACTCACAAGCCGCTTTCAATGGAGAAAAGGAAGCTCACAAGCCGCTTCGATGAAGGAATTCGATTAAGATCCATCAAATTTCTACTCTAAAATGCTGAAGGAGGAAGAATGGATGAGAAGAGAGAGAAAGTGATGAAGGATGGAGACTGGAGACTGGAGAGAGAGAAAAGAAAGACAAATGAAAAGAACAGGAGTCAACTAAACCAGATCAAATTGCAAAGAAACAAATTTAATAAAAGTAAGGGCATTATCGACATAGCATTGCTGATAAGCTATAGTAAAGTTCCTTATTTTTAATTAAGGACTTTAGATTAAATGCTCAACATCTCCTCCTCAACTTTACTTTAGAAATGGTCTTAAGAGTGTTATTTTTTATTTGGTCTCAATTTATTTTATTTTATTTTTTTGCTACTTTTGTAAAATCAAATTTGAGTTTATCCTTATCACTCTTATCTTGTTCTCACTTTCTCCTTTCCTCTAACTCTTGTTTTATGGGTTGAATAATTCGATGTGTGAGGTATTTTTTACCATGCAAACTGAAGATTTTTGTTAATTTTTTTGCCAACTTTGACTAAAAATTAAATTCTTAAAGAGACAGAATGACTCCTAAATTCTCTACCGAAAAAATTATTCAGCATGTAACAAAATGATTTTTGAATAAATAAATAGAGGAATAAATTAATAACCAAGGGATACATACAACACACCATCACATTAAATTATCCAAAGGTTATAACAACCCTAATTATTTTTCAATTAGTTAAAAAAAAAACATCAATTTTTGTTAAAATTGAAATTATTCTAGAACCCTCCTAGTCATGGTTAGATTACTTTAACAATTAATAAGTCCCAAGTATTTAGAAATTAGTAGTTTAAGATTTCTTGTAAAGTTTGAAATTAAATTTTCATTAAATACTCCTTTGGTTTCCGAAAGAAAGTTACGTTTGGTGGTATGGTTAATAAGGAAAATAAGATGGTGAAAAGATATAATTAGAAGTCACATATGTCAAGTACCAAGGCATTAAATTAACTTTGAAAATAAGAATATTTGCATTAAAAGTAGGTAAATATTTTTTTAAAATAGGAATAGTTCTACTGGAAGAAGATAAATAATTTGATAAATAAGGATAATTGCATGGAAAATATGTATGTAAAGGTGAAAATGTGAAAATAAGAATATACAAGTGCATTGGAAGTACTATGCGAATGGTATGAATTCCTATGTATGCCTATATTTTTCTTCTGGGATCTCATCTCAAAGCAATGGAAGGCAAAACAATAGTGGAATCAAAACAATACTCGTTTTGTTTTTTTAAGAATACTCCTATGTATGCCTATAATACTCCTAATTTAAGGATAAGTATTTCGTATATAATACAAGTTCTTATTGAGATTACTATATAATATAAAATAAAATATGAAAGTTGAGAAAAAAAAAATTATCTAATTCAAGGAATAATAGACACTCTCAAACAAAAGAAATAAAAAAAATTAAAATGACAACACGAGTGCCCTCCAGATAAACTGAAATCTCTCCAAATAATCCCTAATTCTTATTAATTGAGTATGAATAAGCATTAATCTTTAAACTAATCATTTTTTTGGGTTCAAAAAACAACCCACTTTTAAAATCACAAAAAATAGTTTGATAATTTTCATTGAAATTCATCTTCTTCAATCCCAAGAGATACGACAGCGAAAGTATGCTCACCAACGACAGAAAATTATAGCTTAAATCTCAAATTTTTGAATGCACAAAGCTATGAGATTCAACATTTATTTATTACAAAAAGATTTGAACAAAAAAAGTTACAAATAAGAAATAAACCCAAGAATTATAATGAGCTTAAAAGCAAAACCATTTGGTCATAACATCACCATCTCAAAGTTATGGACACAAATTCATATATCATACCTTTCGAAATATAAACCCCAAATTTCTTTTTTACTCCGTAATAACTTATCATTTTGGTGCAAAATGATCGGTTTTCTTTATTAATAACTTAATTTATTTATTTATGAAATTATAACTTATTTTATTTTGAATAAATACGTATGGGGTACAACCGTACAAGTATGATGTAAAGTAAATTAAAAATACATTTATTTAGTAATTTAGAAGCTACATCAAACTAACCCACAAAGCCAACAACCAGTTATTTTTCATTAAAGTTTGGAATAGAACCAACAAAGCCAAACATGTAGCATCTTTTATATTTCTTAAATGAGGGACATTCTCAAGAGCATTAGGCTGGAAAAACTTGGTATGGTGATTCTTCTGAGCCACAATCACCACAAACTTTGGGTTCCACTTCTCAACCAGGAATTTACACTCCTGCCAAGTTGAAAATTATCAAAGGATGATAGTCATGGGCAAACCTTAATGGTTTTGCAAAAAAAAAAAAAAAAAAAAAAAAAAAAAAAAAAAAAAAAAAAAAAAAAAAGTTGCTTAGATCTTAAATACTAATCAGGCAAAAACACGTACCTAAATATGATAATATGTTCAGGCTTTCTTTTCCTAGAACTGACATAGAAATCAAGCAGAGCCTATAATGAGCCATTTTAGAACTACTTAAGCTTAAGACAACATTTACACAAGTAACATCTTCTGCAAACATATCTCATGATACCTTCATCTTAGAAACGAAATTGTCAATCATTTCAACCTTAGGAGACTGAGTCCTTAGATGCCGTGTATCGTGAAATCAACAACCATTCCCTGGAGTTAACAACCTAAAGAGCATAAGAACAAACAACATCAACTAATGTTGATAGCAAATTTTCCTTGTCAATTTTCCGGAAATGACGAGGAAGGGGGAGTGTAGAAATTTACAGCAGCAATTGTTGGCACATCAGAATGCTCTGGTGATCTGTGAGATACATCCACCCCAAGAATTATTGTGGGCACTTTTGAAATTAGTGGTATAGAAAGAGTATGCTCACCAACGAACATGGAATTCAACCCAACAAGCTGCATAAAGAACAGATAAATATGAGAAGCCGCACATATTTAAAAAAAAAAAAAATAAGACCATTTAGATTATAGAACAAGTATGAACTCCAAAATCAAATTTTGATTATTACTGCAATTATTTAACATAAAAAATCAAATCAATTAAATAACAGATCCGAAAAAAAATCCATCAAAAGCACCAATTTACCCCTAACCTCTAACAAATCTGAGAAACCCAAGCTTAAATTAGTACTACTAAACAATTCAGAAATCAAGCTGGGGTTGTGTTTACTTTCACACGGGGTTGGATTGAAGACTCAAAACTTCAAAATTATGCAAATAGCAATACATCAGTTATGAACCTCAGGCTAATTCCTGCTTTATTACGATTATGTCACTCTCATATTTTTGAAATATAAGAATTTCTGGTGGAAACCAGTGACGATTACCCAAAACATGTGAAGTACAACATAAGTTCCAATTAATCTTGAAAGTGAGCTTTAAAAAATTCCAAACGGAGAGTGAATAAAGATGCTCAAGTATGATATACTCTGTAGTATATCTTTACACAGAATAATCAAATTAATATAGCAAATACCAGGAACCAAATTGTATAACATGTGGTCCTTTATACATGATTAACTGAAATTCAGAGATTTATCAACATGGAAATTAAACACCTATAAGATACATATTATATCAGAACGGTCTCACATACTTGGGCACTTACAGCGAATTGGTTTTACAAGGATGTGAGAGTCAAATGATAATCCATTTCAGAATTCGATTAAGGTGTTACCTGCAAGTTATGAGCATGTAAGCAGAGTGATAAAACATTTAATTCTGCTTTAATGGAAGTCTCAGATCTTAAAAGAGGAGAAAATAAAAAACTCGTTCAAAACCAAAACTCACTTCTCAAACCTACTTCACTGTAATCAATTTCTATCTCAAAAGGCACAAAATCTTCACAATATGCTTCATTCATTTAGAAAAAACAAATCCCAAGTCCTGAAAAAATAAATCACCGTAGACTATAAAATATACTTGTTAGAATGTGCATCTACACTTGGGGTCTGATATCTAAAGGTTGGATTCATTTAGTTTCAGTTTCAAGTTCAAATTCCCTGCAGATTAGAGCTCATGCTTAAACTGTCCATGAAAACCTCGGTGATTAAATGATTATGTTACAAAAATGAAAATTATAAATTAAAAAAATAATAATAATTGAATTAATTAAAAACAATTTGATTGAAGCCAATATAAAGCACATTCTTACAATTTTTTAAGCTTTATAGCACATGTAAGTGACCTACAAGACCTCAATCAGAGAAGAAACATTCAACATGTGATCATATGAACAGGAATTTACATAACAGGTTCAGATGCTAAGAGAGAAGATTAGTGCTCTTACTGACATTTCTTGTTTTTGAGATTAAACTTTTAACATTCCTAAATCCTGATGCAATCTATACTTGATTCCCTTTCCGAGGCAAGTTCTAAATAAGTAAAGAGTTATAAAGAACCATCACAATTGAAACAGCTACAGTAGTATAACATATACCATCGTATCAAACAATAGCATAAGCATGCAAAGAGATAAGTTAATAGCAGCTTTCCCAATGCAAGGCAACAATGGTTATTATTTCATTGTTTGATTCAGCAAGAAAAAAATCTTGTTAATCAAGCAACCGTTACCTCAAATGTAATGTTGCATGAAGCAGGAGCCCAATCCTCGGCAATATTCCTTTCAAGTGATTTCTGATCAGTTGTAGGCGGAGCCTGAATGTCAATGCCTGCTTCAGCTTTAGAAGGTTGTAAATTCATGACAAATTCCTGAGAGACAATATCAAAATCACTCAAGAACAATTGTATCTTAGGCAACTATTATCTAATGATTATCATCATTGAGCACCAGACCTTATTCTCATCATTGAGCACAGACCCTCTGCCACAATAAAAACATGGTTTGTGCCATGATCATTAATTGAAGTAGAATTTAATCAGTAATTCCTTTAGTATAATTTTGGGATTTTTATTTTGGTTTTGTGGTGTTAGTCAAAGAATTTCTCCTGTATTTCGATTCATATCATTTTCCTTTTATTTGAAAGCTAACTGATTTAATTTTTGTTTATTTCTGGGTTTTCCGCAGGTTTTCGATTGAATTTGATTTCAAATGGCTCTTACTTAGAAACTTGCTCATAAGGTATCTCTTCATTCCCATAGTTTCTTTCCAAGTCCTCTGATTGTTGAGCCACCGCCCTTAGATTTCACCGCTGCTACTCCATTCTTGCCCAGAGAAATGTAATATGGAGAGAGGTGAAAGAAAATGGAGGTGAGAGAGATGAATGGAGAGGAGAAGTAATCAAAGGATAGAGAAAGCACCACCGCCTTAAATGAATGGTGGAGCAGGAAATGGGGAAAAAGCACCGACCTAAGGCAGAAGGGCAGAATTGGCAATACATTAATGTCAATTCGAATATTGTAGCTTAGCTACAGTACTTGGCTTATGAATAGTAAATTCTAGCGCTATTACACTCTTGCCCTCAACATTAATGCATTGCCAATTCTACCCTTCTGCCTTAAGTCAGTGCTTTTCCCCATTTCCATATCGGTGTTTTTGCTGAAGTAGAATATGCAGACATTCAGTGTTTTTGTTTCATGAATGCATTTTCTTCAAATAATTTAAGAAAAGCTGTTGAGAGGGAAAAAAATGCCATCACTCAAGCTCAGCAAAACACGACATAGTGAAATGTGGAGAATGTGGCCCTTTGATAAAATTACATATATAGAACACTAACCACAACTCCATTATCCAACCGTTTTGCTGCGGCAATGTACTTTTTCATCAGATTCTGCTTGCTTTCTTTCTCCACTTTTAACTTCTTCTCCTTCTAGAGGTTGGTAAATCTGATTATTACAAGAATTATTTCACAAAATTAGGGGGAATCTAGCATTACATAGAGTACATTTCAGAGATCACAACCGTCATTGCAAGTAAAACAAAGAGAAAACAAATACGAGAGGAAGATGAAAGACTATAATCATCTTTAATTAGTGATCATCCATTAAAACATTCAAATCAACAAAACCAACAATAAAATGATATTTTAAAACCAAATCAATCTAATTAAATTTATCACTTGCCCACAATAATATCTGGAGTTGATATAAGCCTCATTCTCAAGCAACAAATGCCACAATCTAACATCAAAATTAAATAAATAAATATACCCCGATGATATAATGGAGACCACCACCTCCATAATTTCAATCACTTTTCTCCCTTTGTGGCACACCAGTTCGATATTAGGCCTCCGTTTTCCTTGACCGTAATTACTTTTCTTCTACACTCACCAAAAAAAATAAATAAACAGTAGCATAAACCATAAACACTCTAAGTGTACATTCAGGATTATCTTAATAAAGTTATCTAGCATCTCACGGGAAAAGCGCAAGCCTGAGTAAAATAAAGCTTATTAGGACAAAATCATGGATTATAAATAAATTAGAAATGACTTCATTATATCGAAAACATCAAAAATGATAGCACTGGCTAAAACTAAAAAGAATCCTACTTTTCATAGTTATAAATGCAGATATTAAGAATGAGGTAACATTAAAGCTAGATGAGAGTGAAGTAGCAGACAATATCTCAGCTCATTAGGTTGAATTTGACAAAGTACTGCTTGAGTTCAGGTAGGCCAAGCAAACCCAATGCTCTATGGATTGATTGCATTTCGTTCAGTGAACGATGAACAAAGATCCACCTTGGATTATACCTATTATATAGCAGAAATCCTCAAATGTGCAATCCATAACATAGTAAACTTACTAAAACTCTCTTGACATGGAACTACCTTAAGTATATCGTATACCAAGTAAATCAAATAGTTCTTTTTTCTTGTAAGTAAATACAGTACTTTTGAGTTGGAAAACCCATTCTGTCGTCACAACTACCACCCATGTAACAGCTGCAATTTCCATCCTACACCCGAGTGTAGTTTTACACTTTTGCACGCTTTCAAATTCCCCTCCCCATTTACTCATGAGCTGACCACATTGGGAGGCAAATGTGAGAGTGTGTAAAATTACACCCATTCTAAGATAGACACCCTATGTAACAACAAATAACACACTATAAGCATATTATGGCGAAATTTCAATGCAATTTAGAACTTCAAACTCAACAAGAACACACCATAATTCGATGAAACTGCACTAAGTGACTGCACAACACAAGGTGCTTTCCTCATACTTCACATCAGTACTATAATTTCCTAGAAGGGAGACAAAGTCATTTATCAAAATCTTACACAAACAACACAATTCCAAAAACGGGTATCAAATTTAACCAAAACCCCTATAATCTAAAATAACTATTTTTTCACTAAATTATAGGAATGATCACAAAAGTAACAAAAAAAAATATCAATATATATAATGATAAAATAAGAGCAAATATACCTAAAACCGCTCTGGTATATAAAGAAATGCATACAAATTTGTAAATGATGAAGGTCAAGGAATTCTGCAAAACAAGAAATTGAACAAAACATGAATTGGGATTTTTGGCCCAGCAAAATGGAAGCTTTTTACTCAAAAATATTCATTAAACCGCTTATTTCGTTAATTTGATCAATACAGTACAGTATAAAAGAGATGAAGAATATAGATCAAATATAGTGATTTTTTAATTTTACCTAAAGAAGAAAACTCTGGCACTGGAAACTACCATTTAATGATTCTCTTTCTTCTTGTTTTTGAATAAAGCTAACTCAAATTCCTCCTGCAAATATACATAAATACATACAATGTTAAGGAAAAACCATACATAGTCTAGAAATATTTATACAGATTTTAAGGAAAACACACACAAAACCCAGAAAAATCTAATTACAAACCTCAATTTTTTCAAATACCCACAAAATTCATTAAGCAAACCGAATTCCACTGTTCAATGGAGAGGAAAGCTCAGAAGTTGCTTCAATGGAGGATCAGAGAGAGCTCGGAAGTGAAGAAAAAAAGTTGAACACACATCAAATACCCTGGCCATTTGTACAAATTAATTCAACATAAGAACACAAAATTAACAAAATTCCAAAACGAAATTAACAATAACAATGCAAAATAAAACCCTTATTTCCGCATTACCACCGCTTGAGGTTTCACTGCTGCTGCTCGCCTGCTCCATCTTAGCGATGTAAACTATGCCCAGAGAAATTTAAAATGGAGGGTGGAGAGAGAAAATGGAGAGAATCGAATTAGAGAAGATTAATTAAGAAGATTAACCAAAAACACATAGCATAAAAAAGAAAAAGTGGATTTGTATGAAAATTAAAGCTATACATACCCTAGATTGTGAAATTGATGTTAGATGATTATAAAAAGGATAAACATCTTACCTGAAGAAGATGCTTTAATGGAGGAGATTAAGCTCAGAGCACGCAGCACGCCTTCAATGGAGAGCGAGGAAAAAGAAAGGACGAAAAGGAGCACCAACAGACATTTTATAGCAAACAAAACCCCCGAAAATGAGGAAGAGCAGAGGAGAGAGATTGAGAATTGTGGTGTTCAGGAAAACCAGGAATAAAGTAGTCAAACAAGAAGAGAAGCCTAGACAGATTTTCACATGCAAAGGGTAATTAATACGGCAAACCATTAAAATTAGGGCCAGCAAAGTAATAGCACCACTTTTTACTATTCATAAGCAAAATACTGTAGCTAAGCTACAATACTTGAATTAGACTTTTAAAGGTTTTAGATATTTATCTATTCGTTTCTTTAACAATCTAATTTGTTTAACTTTGTTAAGGGAAAGTTCCTTACTATTTTTTTGTGTTACGTTAGCGAGGTTATCAATCTTTTGAAACCAATAACAAAAGGGGCGACCCCTTAATACTCTAGAAAAAATAGGGTATTTGACTTGTTTGGTAAAGAACAATATTTACCTCAACAATGGTCATTTCTAGAACTACTTATCTAAGATTTTTCAGTGAAGGATCGAAAGATGAAGTTAAGTTAGCTCCCTTATGCTTCATTGACATTTAATGATATGAGAATAAAAATTTCTAGTCAATGGAGTGTTCTTCACTCATAACAAGAGTAGGTTATATAACCTAAACTCAAGTAATCCCTCTAGCTCGAGAGTTGTTGGATGTCATATATGAATTTTCCTAATTTATCCCTCAATTTACCTTATAATGCATGTTAATTGCGGTTTGTGATGAAGTTGAGCAGTGTAGCCCAAGCCCTAGACCTCTCTTAATATTGTTAATCTCCTCTTAGCCCTTAGTTTATTTGAACTAGTAGAAGTTAATCAAAAACACCAACCAAAACTTGACTTGACTTAGCTTATTTAAACTATAACATTCGGTGGATGATCCAAGTCTCTCTTAGGTTTGACCCTTTCTTGTCCTTTCTATTAGTTTAATGAGACCAAGATAGGTTTATTCTCTTTGATAGGCTCGACGACGGCCTATCAAAATCAAAGGATGAAAGTAGACTAAACCAACCAACTAACACTAAAAAGTAATATGAGGGTCAAGATCCACATTGTGCAATTAATAAAAAAAAAAAAAAAGAATCACATTGAAAATAAACCATGCAAAGAAAGAATTAAGATAGATATTGATCACATTTAGAGGAGTTCCTCAAACAACCTTATTTTAGATCCTTCTAAAACTTAGTTCATAAGAGAATGTCAACCAAAATGAAATCAATAATATCAATTAAGCTCCCATCCATTGCCAAATTAAGATCAATATGCAATTAAGCTAGCCAATAATGGTGATCAATGTGGTAGGTGTGTCGCGTACCTATCAAAAATAACCTAACAGACCAATACTAATGTAGACTGGCAAGTACGGGTCGGATCCCAAGAGACTAAGGTTCAGGATCAATTAATTAGACTCAAATTTCTACTAAGCAAGAATCAATTATAATCGATAACTAAGGGCCTAAAATATAGGAAAAATTCGAAAATAAACTAATTAAGATGATTAAATCAAGCAATTAAAAACATCCAAGATCTAGCTTCACCACAACTATTATTGATGCAATTGTAATTCTACCCTTAACATACGATTTCAAGTGAACGGGGAAAAGTAAACCCTAATAATTACCAAGGATCTCTCTCGAGTATCAATGGCTTCCCTAACATACAATCAATCTATTCTCATGGTATCATGCATATTAAAGACATTAAACACATTACTCTCACTTCCCAATTATCAAACCCAACTACTCTCGTGTTGAGAATCAAACCCTAAATTGATTTACTCAAATCCGTTTATACCCAACTCTCGCTGTGATAAAAACAATGGAATAATCGCAATACTATAGTTACGTCTAACCTAGCATTGGCATAACCACAATCAATTTAGCAATTCAATTGTTAAAGTTATTAAAGAATTTAAAGATTTAATTCATGCATCAATAATAATAGGGCTACACTAGATCTTGAATTAAAGAATCTACTCACACATGATTAAAGAAACGAAAACAACAATAAATAATGAAAACATAATTAAATAATAAAGGATGAGAAATAAATACCAAATCTTGAATAAAATTGAAGGTAGAAACCTTGAATCTTGAATTACAAAACTTAGAAAAGTAGATGGACAACTAGTTCTTAATGAGAGAATAAAAATAATATAAGGCTTAATGAAAAAAAAAATTAGAAAAACAAGGCTAAAAAGTATTTATATGAGCCTAAAAAGATAAGAAAAACGGCTAAGCCTTGGCGCACAAGAATCCCAGGAGGCACGGACGTGCCTTTCATAGGCACGGACGTGCCTCTACACGTAGCAAAATTGCTGCAGTTTCTGTCTTCCAGGCACGGACGTGCCTGATGCTGGGCACGGACGTGCCTGCTTCTTTACCTAGGCACGGACGTGCCTCTTCTGCTAGGCACGGACGTGCCTAGGGTCTTCCTTTGGCGCAGCTTCTGGCACAGAGGCACGGACGTGCCTAATAGGGAGGCACGGCCGTGCCTAATAGGGAGGCACGGCCGTGCCTACCTTTAAAATGCCATTTTCTTGACTTTTCTTCAATCTTCAAACTCCATGGGCTTTGACTTACTTCATAGATCTATAATTCATCCAAATTAGCTCCATTATTCCTGAAAATCATCAAAAACAACAAAACTACCCATAAAAGCATCGGATTATCCAAACTAAAGCAAAATACGCCAAAACGGACTCAAATACTCAACTAAACTAACAAAACTAATTAAAAACCAACCAAATAATATACACAAAACACGACTTATCAAACTCCCCCAAGCTAAACTAATGCTTGTCCTCAAGCATTTAACCATGAATCACAAGGGAAGAGAATGATAACTCCTCAAACAATCACAATGTGTCATCGAGTTCAAAACCACGATAAAAACGAAATCAAGAATCAACATGTACAAAAACCGCCATTCATCTCATATACTTAGACTTGACAACCAATCTTACCACACATCTCCCCATACCTACTCACACAAACATGAATAGTTCTCACTTTAGTTGTGAAAAATAAAAACAATAGCGCTCATGTGTTTTCGGGGTGAAATATGAAGCCACTCAACCTAAGCATAGCATGCATATCAACTTCACACAACCGGCCTCTTTAGGCTTGCAGTGCAACTTTCTCCATTTTTAGTGATTGATGCAAACACGAAAATCATGAAATCCATATTAGGTAAGCTCGGTACATAAGGGTTGGACGACGTAATTTGGGAATGTGGTGCTCAAAATAAAACAAATCCTAATCCCACTACACATTCAAATGTCGGGTTCAAGCCAACCTTATTTCCTCCAACTTCATACAATATAAACATAGCCCTTTTATTCATTCTTTCCCTTTTTTTTCTCTTTTTTTTAATTATTTTTTTTTCACAAAGAGGAGGGAATTAATAAATAAAAACAAATGGAAGAACTCTCAATTTTTCAAAAGCCTTTAAGGCCACTTTTCTTTTCTTTCCTTTCTTCCCTTTTCTAATATCCCCTCTTTCTCTTGTTTTCTTTCTTCTTCTTTTTTCAAAATCATTCACACTCATAGGGCTTAACAAATGTAAAACACCTTCAAAATAAACCTAGAAAAATAGCTCTAAAGCTTTAAATGTAGGGTATCAAGAAGGGGTTAATATGGCTCAAATTGGTTCAACCTACGGGTGAATGTAAAATAAAAATAAATAAAAACAAAAAGAAAAAAAACACATGAAGGCCTAGAATGTGGAGGCTCTAAATTCTACAAGGGAATTTCAATCATCTTTTCGCGACATGCATCATAAAGTCTCAAATAGTCAAAAAGCAAGACCAAGAATTCGATTATATGAAGGACAATCTAATCACACAAGAAGAAACATGACCGAGGTAGAGTGAAATCAATCAAATAAGGCTCAAGACTCTCACCGGTACACAAACTATTCACATAAGTAGAGCAGGGAGACCATCCTGGCCACTACCTAGCTCAATTCCAAGCACATCAATGAATGGGTTTTCGAAAACTCTTTTTTTTTTCAAAAAACACACATATGTGATTATAATCATAGAAGCATAGTCATGCAATGGCATATTATTCGACACTAGAAAGAAATAAACTACCCAAAAACTGAAATAAAACTAATATATACATGGTGAAAAGCAAATCCTCCCCCGAGCTAAACCATACATTGTCCTCAATGTATGCATAAATCAAGGCAAATAAACAAGGGGAAGGAAAAGACAAACTACTGATCAGGAGGGGTGGGGGGGAAACCATACCTCGGGTCGGTACTAGGATGGAAGCACGGACGTGCCTTATTTCGTGGACTCCATCTTCGTAGAATTTGCTCTTTTCACCTATTTAGATAGGGAAAATAATAAAAATTAGAACACTAATAACCACATCGAGAATCAAAAATAAAAATAAAAAAAAAAAAGAATAAAAGAAAAGAAAAGGATCGAGAATGGGTTGCCTCCCATTTAGCGCTTGTTTATAAGGTCTTTAGCTTGACCGTAGTGATACTCATTGGCTCAACCGGGATCACCACACGAAGGGGGAACTCCGCAATGTTGCCCATGGGAATGATTGCCTCCAAGTGACTCCTTCATTTTATTGTTTACCTGCCTTATATCCGAACTCACCTTCATGTGGCCAAGCACATCATCGGGTGGAATTTTGTTCTTGCTTCTCACGAAATTTCTATCAAATACATACTTATCAACCAAGGGGTTAGTAGCATCGATTCTTAAGCAAGTACCACCATCAAATATAGAATTATGTTCATCAAAGAGCTTGAACATGACTTGTTTATCCTGGTCCCTAATGGTCACTTGTCCTTTAGGAACATCTATTAAAGCTTGACTTGTGGCAAGGAATGGACGACCAAGTATGATCGGGATCTTCCGATCTTCCTTCATATCCAAGACAACAAAATCAACAGGAATAACAAGTCCACCCACCGTGACTAATACATCTTCAACCACACCCTTAGGGAGTCTAGAAGTCCTATCAGCCAATTGAAGATAAATAGGGGAAGGTTTAAGTCCTTGCAAGCCTAAGCTCTCATATAATGAATAAGGCATTAAGTTAACACTAGCACCTAAATCGCACAAAACCCTATCGAAAAATTTCTCATTTATCGTGCAGGGAATAGTGAAACTACCCGGATCATGCAGCTTAGGTGGTAGGTTATCATATAAGAGAGTAGGGCCTTTCTTATTTACTACTTCCTTATCCTTTTGTTGATCTTTAATATTCTTTACAAAATTTGCAAATTGAGGCATTTGAACTAAAAGATCAGAAAAGGGAGTAGAACCGTGTACCTTCTTGAGGGCTTCACAATATTTGCCAAAATGTCTATCGAGCATGGCTTTTGACAACCGTTGTGGGGAAGGAATTGGTTCCTCATAAGCCGGTGGAGCCACATATTTGGAGCTTTGAACATCCTTGCCCTTTTCGTCTTTTCTAGACTCCTCACTGCACACCTTCTCAACAATTTGCCTCGGAAAGGCTTCATCTCTTCTCAAGAAAACAACATTGCATTGTTCTTTTTGAACCTTTGCTTGATCTTGAAGAGTTGATAGGCGACTCACCTGTTATAAAATTTGGCTTATTTCGCTTTCCATGAGCTTACTATGGGCTTGCAAATGTTGGATGGATTTACCTTGTTGTTGGATAGCACTATTGGTTGTGGTAATAAAGCTCTCTATCATCACTTCAAGGCTAGATTTTTTGGGTTGTGGTTGCATTGGTTGTTGGTTCATGGATGGTCTTTGTTGGAGACCGGGTAGTGGTTGGTTGTAGTTGTTGGGTTGGGGTGGTGGTGATGGATTCTGCTGTGCTTGGGTGTTCTTGTATGATAAGTTTGGATGGTGTTTCCAACCTTCATTATAGGAATTTGAGTAGGGATCATAAGGATTTTTGGGATTTGAGGAGTAGAAAGCATTGGCTTGTTCGATGGACATCTCACTCGGGTTCTGCGGGCAATTTGGTGCGATATGGCCCTACACATTACACATTTGACAAACTTCCTGGGGGCTAGTAGATGTTCCAGCTTGGAACTTATCAAACCTGCTTGTTAGTGCCTTCACAGAACTGGCTAACATAGTCAAAGCATCTACATCAAGCTTACCTCCTTTTTTCACATTCTGACGACCTCCTGGATGATAATTATCATTGGCCGCCATCTTCTCAATCAGGTCCTTTGCCTCAGTTGGGTTCTTTTTCAAGAGAGAACCCCCTGATGCAGCATCAATGTAGATTCGGAACTCATGGGTTAGGCCATTATAAAAGGTTTGAATCAACAGCCACTCTGGGATACCGTGACGAGGGCATTATCTCTGTAACCTCTTGAACCTTCTCCAAGCCTCATAGAGAGACTCGTCATCTGACTGTCGGAAGGTGGATAGCTCGTTCCTCAACCTGGCAGTCTTCTCATGTCCCAAAAACTTCACTAAGAAGGCCTTCACTAGCTTGTCCCATGTGTCAAATGAGTCAGAACCCTCATCTCTCAGCCATTCCTTCGCCCTATCCCGTAATGAAAAAGGAAAAAGGCGAAGTCTAAGAGCAACGTCTGTAACACCATTCATCTTCATGGTATCACATTTCTCCAAAAAGCTATCAATATGACTTACTGGGCAATCATGTGGTAGCCCTGCGAATGAATCATTGGAGATGAACTGGATGAATTGCGGCTTGAGCTCGAAGTGCTGAGCCGTCACAGGTGGTCTTACGATGCTAGAAAGGATTCCGGTAGTCGTATCAGGAATACCGTACTCCAAAAGGGATTTCATTGGTTGGTCTACCATGTTTCTATTGGTTTGATTTCTCCTTCTTCTTCTACCTTCCCGTCTTCTTGCGGTTGCTTCGATTTCATAATCAAAAGGTGCTAGATCTTCTGAACCCGAGCTTCGTGTGGGCATGCAACAAGAAAACTAGAGAAAGAGTATCAAAAACACAAGAAAAAAATAGCCGAAGCAACGAAATAAGCCTAGAAAAAATGAATCACAATTAATCTAATGAAACCGTTAGTCCCCGACAACGGCGCCAAAATTTGGTAGGCGTGTCGCGTACCTATCAAAAATAACCTAACAGACCAATACTAATGTAGACTGGCAAGTAAGGGTCGGATCCCAAGAGACTAAGGTTCAGGAACAATTAATTAGACTCAAATTTCTACTAAGCAAGAATCAATTATAATCGATAACTAAGGGCCTAAAATATAGGAAAAATTCGAAAATAAACTAATTAAGATGATTAAATCAAGCAATTAAAAACATCCAAGATCTAGCTTCACCACAACTATTATTGATGCAATTGTAATTCTACCCTTAACATACGATTTCAAGTGAACGGGGAAAAGTAAACCCTAATAATTACCAAGGATCTCTCTCGAGTATCAATGGCTTCCCTAACATACAATCAATCCTATTCTCATGGTATCATGCATATTAAAGACATTAAACACATTACTCTCACTTCCCAATTATCAAACCCAACTACTCTCGTGTTGAGAATCAAACCCTAAATTGATTTACTCAAATCCGTTTATACCCAACTCTCGCTGTGATAAAAACAATAATATTCGCAATACTATAGTTACGTCTAACCTAGCATTGGCATAATCACAATCAATTTAGCAATTCAATTGTTAAAGTTATTAAAGAATTTAAAGATTTAATTCATGCATCAATAATAATAGGGCTACACTAGATCTTAAATTAAAGAATCTACTCACACATGATTAAAGAAACGAAAACAACAATAAATAATGAAAACATAATTAAATAATAAAGGATGAGAAATAAATACCAAATCTTGAATAAAATTGAAGGTAGAAACCTTGAATCTTGAATTACAAAACTTAGAAAAGTAGATGGACAACTAGTTCTTAATGAGAGAATAAAAATAATATAAGGTTTAATGAAAAAAAAAATAATTAGAAAAACAAGGCTAAAAAGTATTTATATGAGCCTAAAAAGATAAGAAAAACGGCTAAGCCTTGGCGCACAAGAATCCCAGGAGGCACGGACGTGCCTCTACACGTAGCAAAATTGCTGCAGTTTCTGTCTTCCAAGCACGGACGAGCCTGATGCTGGGCACGGACGTGCCTGCTTCTTTACCTAGGCACGGACGTGCCTAGGGTCTTCCTTTGGCGCAGCTTCTGGCACAGAGGCACGGACGTGCCTAATAGGGAGGCACGACCGTGCCTACCTCTAAAATCCTATTTTTTTTACTTTTCTTCAATCTCCAAACTCCATGGGCTTTGACTTACTTCATGGATCTATAATTCATCCAAATTAGCTCCATTATTCCTGAAAATCATCAAAAACAACAAAACTACCCATAAAAGCATCGGATTATCCAAACTAAAGCAAAATACGCCAAACGGACTCAAATACTCAACTAAACTAACAAAACTAACTAAAAACCAACCAAATAATATACACAAAACACGACTTATCACAATGCTAACAACATGTCTCCGTCAACTCAATTAATTTAATCACACAATTAATCATCAATGTTCATCGCATTCCACTCAATCAATAAACACAATGCTTCACTTAACACCTATCAAATCTAGCTCTACACACTAAGCATAATTAAATAAAGCAATTAACAAAACAATTAAAGGAATCAAGAAATAATCAAGATTGAAGATTAATTACACTAATTTAATCAAGCAAGTTATTCAAGAAAGCAATAAAGGTGAGATAGAGTAAGAAACGCTCATTGATTTGTTGAGAAGATCTCCAAAGCAATTGTCACACTTGATTCTTCCATCTCTCAATTCTCCATTGATTTTCCTCACTTTCTCTTTCTAAAAATACTCCTAATCTATCTCAAATCTAAAGAGAAAAGCTATCAACTAATCCTAAGATATGAAGGAGGATGAAAAAAAAGGTAAGTTTGTTTTATAAGTTGAGTCCAACAGGTAATTATATTAAGGAAAATAAAGGAGCAAAAATCCAGAAAAACGTTGGGCATACATGGTCGTGCGAGCGCACGAGCCGCCCTGCATGCGCACGCGAGGGTGTTACCCAGCTCATGCGAGAGCGCTGCTAGATGCGCGCAAGATGCCGAGGCCACATTAGTGCGCAATTGCTCGCATCCGGGAGCTGGTGTGCACATGTGGCCACCTATTGTTTGGCAAATTGAAGGTAAAGCACTAAATTATATATGATTCTTTGATTTGTAATGTTTTTATTTCCATGGTTGTCATTTTTAAACATATAATTTTAATAACCAATATTTATATTTATATTTATCAATAAATAAAAATTATAAGAAAAAAGATGATATTTTGAATACAGAAAATGAAAATTAAGAAATTCCTTTTTAAAGGAAAATAAAAATGTGCATCGTATGAGATTGTTTTTAAACAAGATTAATTTTAGTACAGGTATTTCTTTAATTTTGGTACAAGCAAAATCTTTGTTTGTTTTTTTTCCCAAAAATCATTCAACATATGGGTTAATATTATGACAACAACAGATTAGGAAGGACTCTCTTTCATAAGCGTGATAACCCGTTAATAATGAACAAAGCCCAAAAGGCCCAACCATCAATTACCACAACTAGCTAAATCAATTCCTATTTCCTTTAGTTTATTGGCCCAATATTATGGCCCATTATTACAAGTAAGAAACATACTTTTGAAAAAAAAAAAAAATTACTTGAACTTTGCGGCCAAAAACAAATAAAAAATATTTAAACTACAATTTTTGAAAAATTAGAAGGAAATTATAAAAGGAGCTTAATTCTTTTTGACAAGGACAATGAACAACTGAGTTCCTTGCTTAATGCTTGACTTGAACTTGTCAGAAAACTCAATGGTTTTCTTAGAAAATCTATCAAACAGTTCATCAATTTTCTCAACGCCAAAATGTTTAGAAAAAATTCCTTCCATTCCAGCTCTCAAGTGATTTGCTATTGTGTTATCATCACCTGTAGTCTTAGAACCACCCTCATTATTCTTTCTTGCTGAAGTTGGATCAGTTAGCTCCATTCTCTCAATGCTAAATCGCCCGTTCTTTTTCACTAAGGATTGCATCTCCATTGGTGAAACGCCGTAGATTGGCAAGTTGAAGGAGTCTACTTGCTCTTGGCTTATGACTCCCTAAAATCATTAGGGAAGAGAAATAACAAAAAAAAAAAAATACTTAGAAAATATTTTGTACTAGTTTCGTTATTACAATCACAAACACATTGTGAACTTTTACTTTTGAATGTAAATTAAAAGCAAAATTAAATCAAGAACACAGTGCAACACTTCATTTGACCTACAAGCAAATAAGATGGTGATTAATGGATTATCATACTTTTATCTTATTTGGCCATCTAGTTGGTTTAGCCATCAAACAACCTAATCAATTACGCTTTGTTTGGATAACAAAGAAAGAAGGAAAGGAAGGGGAGGGGAGGGGAAAAGGAGGAAGGGAAGGGAGAAGAAAGGGAGGGGGAGGTGAGGACCATTTTCCCTCCATATCTCTCCAATTTTGGAGTGATTATGCTTATTAAAGAGAGAGGGAAAATGGATTCCTCCCTCTCCTTCCCCTTCCTTCCAACAATCCTTTACCCAAATAAGAGAATTTGTCCCCCTCCCTTTCTCTTCTCTTCTTTTCCTTCCATTTCTTTCAATCCGAACAAAGTGTTAAATAAAGCATAACTGGCGTTACCTAGTTGGTTCATTAGAACTAAAATTGCACTTACAAAAAGAACAAAAGGCACTTACAGCTTCAGCCATATCCACTAGGGAAGCACCCAAGAGGTCGAACATTATCCCAGCAGGAACCTGAGAATGAGCCACTGTTTCATCAGGAATACATGGCATAATGAGCACCATCATCCCACCAACTACGAGCTCTCTCGCTCTTTCTCCCAAAAACAGCTCCATGTCTTCAGAAAACTGCCTAGCATAAGCATCCTCAACACCTCGTGGAGCACTAGTGTAGTGGATTCTCCCACCATTCCATGCCTCAGATTCCTTGTTAAGTAGCTCCTTAGGCTCCTTAGACAACCATTGTAGAGAATATGATGAGTGGATAAAGTGGAGTGACGAATCAGGAAAAAGACGGCCATAGAAGGAACCGGGCACACCAGCTGAGAAGTAGGCACGATCAAAAGGAAGGGAGGTAAAGAGGGTGTTGAAATCGTTTCCAGCATGATCATTGAAGAAGACTTGAAATTGAGGGTTTTTGAAAGACAGGGATTTGGCTTTGGTTTCGATTGTGTCCATCACATTTTGCATTGCAGTGAATGTATTCGGACCTACTGAACAGCCAAGGTCAGCTAACCGGATTGTCGCGGTTGCTGATGGTGTTGTGGCAGTAATGGGCAAGAGGAAGTTCATGGCATCAAATTTCTCAGTGATTGCGGAGCAAATTAACCCTTGTACTGCACTTGAAGCTGATTTCTGTGTTGGTTTCAAAAGATTCATCATTAGTTCTTAATATTATGCAGTTTCTTACATCATTAACATAACCGGCCATGATGGATTATAAGATAATTTACATTCAATATGAGATTCTATGTGGTAGAGGCTACTAAAAGAAACATTTGACACATTTAACCACTAATCAAAATTAAACCATTGTCATCACATCTTTTTTATGTACGCTGCAAAGAATAACATCCAACTTTCCCTCTATATTTGGGTATTTTAAACTACAAGTAAAACTTGATTTCTAAATAAGTTTACTTTTAAAAAATATCTTTTATAGATATATATTTTAGTATTAGTTAAAAATCGAGCATTTGCTAGGGATATATGAAGTTTTCTTATAAGGTATGTTCAAAAGTTTGGCATACAAAAATTAAAAAAGTTTTAACCGAATCAAACAAACTACACAAAATACAAAGCAAATTTATGGAAAATGCTAAATCCAAACGAATCACACAAACTACCCAAATAACAAACCAATTTTTGTAATACCTTCGTATCATAATACATTATGTGTAACTATTTAATGTTTATATCTCACAAAAAATAACCAATTATTGCACATAATGTTAAAACCAAAACTCCTTACATATGTTGTTCTCTAAACTAATTCCACTAAAATTATCTATATATGTGGATCGATTTTTTATTTTGTTTTTTAAAATTTCATTTTTCAAAAACTTAAAACCACTAATTTTGTTGGGTAATGGTTATTGTTAATTAACCGCTAATACTGTTAGCATATTTAATTTACAAACCGCGATTGATATTAGTGGTTCATCTATTAATACTACTAATAACAATATTAGCAATTTTACATACTATACGAGATCAATTTTCTATAAAACCTAAAAATCTAAGAATCTAACCTTCTAGCTCCATCCTAATATACAACTACTAATAACACTAGTAGCGATTTTGTTAATAAAGTTGTTAACACCAATTGAGGTTTTATTATCAAATTGAATCACTAAGATGTTGTCGGTTTTATTAATATAATCACTACTAGTGTTAGTGGTTTAATATTATCTAACACTTCTATCAGTAACTAATTCTTGGATGGTATTAGGAGAATTAGTTTTGAAACCAACACATATAAGAATATAGTTTCGTTTTGGCATTATTTATAGACATCGCTCCAAATTTACATATTCACCCAATTTTCTTTGTTTTATTATCTTAAATCTCAAATCTAAAACTATATGCAACAACCGTATCATTGCTTGAGCCAATAACTGGCTACATATAATAATAATAATAATAATAATAATAATAATAATAATCTATGTAACTCTTTTTTGGTTGGAAATTTTTCCTTTCCAAAATACCCTTCATTAGATATACAAATTTACTATAAAAACTTTTTTTTTTTTTTTGAAACAAATAAAGTTTTGACAATTATTGGATTGTACAAGGATAATTAAATTAATAACATCAATTAAAAAAAAACAAATACACGTTCATGAGTACATCCCTGTTTTTTTTTTTTTTTGACAATTATTGAATTAAACAAGGATAATTGGTTGGAAAAAAATTATACAACGATAATTTAATTAGTGAATTTATCTAAAAAAAAACAAAAGGATAAAAAAAAATCAAAAACTATCCACATTAGACATACATTTACCAACCTCTGATTCCCATATATACGTTCATCCTACTTAAAAAAAAATAGAAAGTGGTTATCTTTCATTGAATTGAATTTGGTTTATAATTATATTATGCATTATTTACAAGACAAGAAGATTACCAAAGAATCTATAAGAAGATTACAAGGTATTTACATAATTTTTTGTTTTAATGTACAAGAGAAGTTTTTGCTTGAAAATTATGATTTCGTTGCTTTATATTGGTGATTGCTCCCAAGTACCACCCTTTTTCCTAACTTTGATTGCTCCCAAGCTTCCTAAATTGCTTTGTTTCATTATGTACTCCGTATATAGTTAATGTCAAATTGTGGGTTTTCTTTTTTGAATTGGAGGCGGGTAATATATATGATTCCATATAATTCATCTTCTTGTGTCCCAATATAGTTCCACGCATATTGACATTTTCTTTTAATTTTCTCTCTAATTTTGGTCCTTATAATGTAATTTTTTGGTTTTGATTGAATTTTAACAAGGAGTAATATATAAAATTTATTTTTATTGAATTATATTTGGGATGGTTGTCATTAGTCTACACTCTTGATTTTGATTGAATTTTAACAAGGAGTAATATATAAAAGTTATTTTTTATTGAATTATATTTGGGTTGAATTATATTTGGGATGGTTGTTTTAGTCATTAGTCTACATTTTATCAAATTTCACTAGAAAATCTTTTGGGATTATTTTACTATTGTAAATAAATTGTGAGTTGCTCCCACCTTTTGTATCATGTAATTGATGTTATATGCTTTCACAACCTATATTAGTCAAACTTTTGTGCAAATTAAAGACTTAAAGTACATCTTTAATTATTACGGACTATATTGCTATAAAGATTAGGCAGTGTGAAAAATGACAATTTGGGACATAGAGAAGGGTTAACCAATTTCAATGTCATAGTGTAATATAGTTCTCCATATAACGTGATAATAATTTTTGTATGATCGATTAGCACTGTATTTTACTAAATTTCTTTATTTTACAGTCATAAATATTAAAGAGGAAAGTTTATAATATACACATAGACAATTTATAAGAAAAAAGTTGTCCAATTGTTAGAGCAAATTAAAAAGGTAATCGTGCATGCATTGTGTGCGCCTCTAAGGTTGTAATAATAATAATAATAATAATAATAATAATAATAATAATAATAAGAATAAATTAAAAATAAAAAAACTCACTTAATGGAGTTTGTTTTTTTTCCTTTATACGTTACTCTAAAATCTAAATAAACGGTGAAAGTTCAATTAAACTGATGAGCCCACATTAACATACATCATAATCAGACCATAACACCTTTTTCTAGGTGATGATATCCTTTTTTTTTTTTTTTTTAACAATTTAGAAGACAAATTATACTTCATATTTTGCTCTTTAAACCCAAATTAACACTTTTGTTACGGTTTTAATTGAATCGTTTTACGTTTAAGTACATATTCAATAAAGATAATATGACTGATTGACTGGTATTCAAACTATTTTTTTGAAATTGTTAACTTGATACTCGCCACCGCATCCTCTTAACAATTGAGGTCATACTGTATTAATAAAGATGGGCCACCTGACACAAGCCTATTGTGGGCAGGGCCAACCTGACACTATTCATGTTGGGACATTGGTTGTGCCTGGGCATAGAATTTTGGAATATAAGCACGTCACGGCCATGGCCCGTAGAAGCACAAGATAGCCCACGGGTTAACCCAACAGGCTCAACATGTAAATAGGCCCGTGGGCCTGCTTGGGCCATGTTTTTGCAATTTTAGGCTCAGCTGCACGACCTAATTCTTAATGCCTACACCCTCTTTTAGGCAAAACTACCGTCACCCCCCCCCACTAAATTACCATATAGCCCTTACTCCCCCACTAAAAGACAAACTACAACCCCCCAACTAATCGCACAATAACTATCTACTAACCATGGTAACTTTAATTAACCACCCCTACTCCACATATATATACATACATACCAAAAAAAAAAAAAACCATTTCAAATCATTTTCTCTCTACAACCTTCTTCTTCATCAACTTTTCTAGACTTTCTCTCTCATCAAAACCAAAAATCGGAACAATATCACTCTAAAATTACTCCAAATTACTTCAAAATGCTACAAATGTCTGACATTCGCGAAGAAATTCTTCAATCGCAACAACATTTCAATGATCATTTTAGTACAATTTTGTGTATAAATCCTAGGTTTTCAATTTTAACTTGCAATTATATGTTCTACGTAATTTGCTATGATAACACTTATTTTTATGCAAAAATGATTAAAAATCTACTATATTTTGTGTTAATTTTCAATTTTCCAATTTTTAGTTAACTTTATCAAGGAATTAATTTTGTGTTACATATGTAAAAATAATAAGAAATTATGAAATTGTTTGCCATTGAAAATTGAGTACAGAGTATAATTATGTTAATTTTCTGAATTAGTTGAGTTTTTGTAGAGTTACTGAGATTTAAATTAGTTTATATTGAAAATGACTTTTCGGTTAATGTTCATTTTCATTTTGATAGATGTTCATTATGATATTAGTATATGATCATTTACATTCTTACCTTATATCTACAAGGATTCAGTCTAATTAAGAGAAGATTACCTTAGTTTTGTGAATGATCATTCACATAGTAATGAACGTTTACTAGTATTTAAACAAATGTTCATTTGAATTTAAATACATACATGTTCATGCATTCTGATATTGAAGATATCCACATAAGCTATAATAATACATGTTTAACTTCATGTTAAATTAATATATGCTCATGAGCGTCATTTGAATATTATACTACATATATTTTAACTCTAATATTAATAGATGTTTATTCGAATTTGATACATAAATGTTCATTTGGATATGTGTATATTCACACATATATTAATGTATGTTCATTCACATGTTCAAAAATGTTCAAAAATAAATCACATATGGTTCATTCATCATAGACCTTTGATGATTCTATTTTAAAATATAATATAATCTTATGGTATTTTATCCACATATAATATCAATAATACATATTAAGTCGTATTTTGACATATTGAATTACTATTAATGGTTATTTACATATTAATAGATTTTTATTTGGATTTTGATGTATGTTCATTGTCATATGAATAAATGTTCATTTAGAATTTAATACATGTTCATTATTTAGATTTTATACGTGTTCATTCTCATATTGAAAGATCTTTATATGTTTATAGTGTGTTCATTTCTGAATTTGTAATTGTTATTCATGCGCAAATGTTCAATTTTTGAATCCTTAGATTTCATATACTTTTGTTTGAAATGTGTTATTATTATTATGTTTTTTTATTTTTTTTGAAAAACTTGATCGATCTCTTATTATACAAGATAATCAAGTAAGGAAGTTGAAGGCAACATAAATATTGGCTCAGATTATATTTTTCATGGAAAGCACACAAATATATGATTAAAGGTGTAACAAGGAGGATATATATATACACTTTATTATACCAAATGTAACAAAGAATGTTCATTTTACAAGACAAATATGTACATTTGGTTCACTTTATTTCATGTTTATGAAACAATTACATGCAATAGTATAGTTGTATAGAAATGTGTTATTATAATAATTAAATTAAATTTATTTTATATTGGGAATTATTTTTAACAAAGTTTTATTTAAATAAATAGAATTCTAAGACGTATGTATTTGCATACATCTTACTATAAAACTTACACATAGCTCTTGAAATGAACATTTGATAATACAAAAATGAACATCTGTTGAAACACGAATAAACAAAAATGAACATTGAATGATGCAATACTTCTTATAATAAAAATGATTTGAATGCAACAATCCTTATAAATAAATTTGCTCTCATTATTATTTATAGCAAATCTTAAAATTCAATTCAGAAAATATATTAATTTGAACAAAAACTCCTTGTTATAAAAATAAACATCTAATGATACATAAATAAACATTTACTAATAAAGAAATGAACGTGTTATATAAATTTATAGGAAATTAATAAATGAAAAGGGGCGGAGGCAGGGCACGCAGGAAGGATGGGGGTGCAGGCAGTGTTCCCTGGCGTGAAATATAGGTAAAAATTTATAGTGTCCGGTTGGGCCTGGGCCCGAGAAGGTCTTAGGCCTATGGCCCAGCCCAAAGTCATCTTTAGTCATACATATGAACTACTTTTTTTAAGGCATATTGTAAATTTGTAATAGCCGTAATCTAAAGTTGTTCATTTTCTGGTCCTCGTATGGCTCCATCTGAAATAAGTATCGAAGGGTCCCTTATTCGTGGGAGTCTAAAGATCAAAAAGAATAAGGGCTAGCTTTTGGATTAATGTTTTTCAAGTCAGTTGTTCATTTTTTGGATTAGTGTTATTCAAGTAAGTTGTTCATTTTTGGAATTATGTTATTCAAAGAATCCAAATTGTAAGAACCACACTTTTTTATTTGTCTCACTTTAAATAATATACTAGATAACATTAAAAAGTTAGATTTTTTTTTTACATATTATGTACATAGTTTCATATTCTCATAGTACATGTTTTTTTTTTATCCTTCTTCCATTCTTTAATTGCTTGTTTATTAGCTTGTCCAATATTGATTCACTATTGACCCAACCCCCTTTGTCCCAAATTCCCAATATAATGTGACCCCCTTTTGGCACAACACTTTACCAACCCGCACTAATTCTAATTCGACCCGCCATATAATCATATTTAGTTCTCGTAAAAAAAAAAAAATAATAAAAATAAAAAAAATAATAAAAAAATTACTTACAATAATTGTTATTCTCTCCAATTTAAAATTATTTGTCACAAATTGATTTTTTGCATTATTCATCTACTAATTTTGATAGTACATCTATGCTTACAAAAATTATACATTTCTCCTGTTTGGTTTTAATTGTAACATTAAGAAAATTGCATTTATTTATGTTGTTACGTTTGACCAACTTTATAGTCAAGTCGTATCTTGTTAGACTCGTTCAATTCATATTTACACAATACTAAATTTTATATTTTTTGTCTATTTATATTAGAGATTAAAAGAGTTGAAATTATAAATTAACAAACGTGAAAAAAGTTATAACTAAAAAAGAACCGAGGAAATATTAATGATCAACCTCTAGCGTTGACAAGCGTGTCTAATCAAGCTACTCTGTACATCAACTGTTTAGAAATAGAGAGTATGAAGTTGGCAAGCTTTATTTTCACTTACATGGTGCTCTATACATACAAGACTAGAAAGAAATTGAATCTCAATACACGAAGTATACAAGACTTTGTGAGCCTTCGTTAATTTAAACCCAGAATATATATATATATATATATATATATATATATATATATATATATATATATATATATATATATATATATATATATATATATATAAAAGAATGATTCAAGTAAGCTAGTTGGTGATTAAGTTTAATCAAATCAACAAATATGTATTTTCTCATATTAATCGATAAATAATCATAGTCAATGTTTCACTCCTCAAATGGAATATTTAATCGAAAGAATTGGAACGGAATACTAGAAGCTAAGAGCGATATAATTAATTAGCTAGTTAAATATACCTGAAAGGTGGAGTTCTTGGTATAGCTGAAACTGCCATCTCCTCCCTTCATTGGATATGATTCTACTGCTGCCATCTCTATTTTTAGTGAGATATCTTTCCCTCTCCTCTCTAAAAATAAGATCAAAGAAGCTGTGTCGATGTTGTAATTTCCTTTTACTCCGCACTTGAGTTGCCAAACTCTTCACGCTTAAATAATCGGCTAAAATTATAGTAGGCGAGTATTTTTATATATTTTCTCAATTTCCCTCAATTTTTGACAAACCAGTACACGTGAGTGGGGTTCGGGTATTTTTATTAATACTTTACGAATCCCAAGCCTATTTTATTACAATATTGTCATTTTAAGGCTGTTAATTTGGATTTTCTCCTATTTACATACTTCTCTTTATATATTAGTTTCGTTTCTTATCATATGTAACAAAGGGTATTATTTCAACATAAAAATTTCTTTTATTAAACATAATAAAAAACCAAGGCAGTATAAAACCTAAATAAGCTAAGTCTCACCCCCCTCCCCCCCTCTTCAAATACTGATTTCGCCATTGTATACCAAAACGTAACAAGATTTCACTTAAATAGGTTATTCTAATATATCTTATTTTAATATTTTGTATATTCACTCTCCTGATTCTCTTCCCCACTTGTACCCAATTTTGTTTTTTTTCAGGATTTTCTTTTTTATTCAACCAATTCCAATTCAATCATAGATTAATGATTTTCTACTATTTCTCCAAGACTCCATAATTGAAGAAGTGGAGCAAATGATTAAATACGGAGGGAGTAATAAACTTCTAGAGGCCCAACTTAATAAAATATACTTTATCTGTTTTTTTTAACTTAACTTATTTCTTTTATCACGCTTATCAATGCAAAACTTTAATGATCAATAACTTTAATTTTCCATATGTAAAAATTATAAAAGTTATATATTATGATAGTACTTATTGAGACAAATTCAAAAAGATCCAGCATAAATATGTTTTTCCTTACATATTATTCACAAAGGACAGTCAAAGGAGATATGGTGAATAGTGTAAAAGTCAAACCGGGTCAAGTAAAAAAGAACGGAGGAAGTATAGTTAAAGAGAATTGGAGTTGAGCCATGGAGACCGGACTTTCTCATGCCCTCCCATTCCGCCCCTACGATATATGCTTTCACTAGCACTATTAGCATTAGACCTGTCAATTCAGGTTATTTGGGTCGGGTCGGGTTCGGTTCATCACTCATTAACTCGAGTTTAGGTTCGGGTCAGGTTAGAAATTGACAAATCTACTTGTGATGCGTGCGCTTGTGTAGTATAGGCATTTTCACGCAACTACTACAAATTCGACATTTTCCACACAATTAGTGATTTCCCCGAGAGTGAGGGATAACTCAAGTGGTTAGAACTTTCCTTCGTTTTAAGGAGATCGTGTGATCGATTCTCATCACCCACTCTTGTTGTTCTCTAAACAATAACAAAAAAAAAAAAAAAATTACCATCCGTGTCTATGTTAAAGCTTTTCAAATGTGTGTTAAGTTTAGATCCCATTTGTAATATAATATTTTGTAATTGGATTACTTACAATAGGTAGGACATTTGGACTTGCACAATTACTAATGTACAATTTAAATATTTTGAAATCTAATATTTAAATTGGAATATTTTGTAATTGGAATACTTGCTTTATTTACAATAGGTAGGACATTTGGACTTTCACAATTACTAATGTACAATTTAAATATTATTATCTTTAATTATTATTATGTACATTTTATAGAGATTTGATATTTGAATGTCTATAACAAGATGATTCTTACATTATCCCACTTAAATATTTTTCCGTATCTAAAATAGTGGAGATACCCCACATGTCACTACAAGCTCAAAAATAGAACAGAAAGCCTGTTTGCTGAATTTGGTAAATTATTTATGGTTAGCGAATGCTCAACGTTTCCAAAGCTTAATGATTTTAGCTAACTAAGAGAAACAGTAATTGTGATATTTAAAGAGGTAATTTATTTCCAATATATTTTAGGATTATTATGGTTCCATTTGTGTGGAAATAGGAGGGTGTTTTCCATTACATGAGTGATGCATTGTGGAAATTATCTTCACCACTTAAGATATGATCTTGTCGTAGATCACGAAATAATTAACCTCCCAAGAACTATTTAACACAATTTCATTTTTAGTTTTTAGCTCAAGCTTTGCACGTATATTTTGAGAGAATCATTCGAAAATTTCAAACACTCCTGAAAAATAGCTCGTTACATTAGTTTATCAAGCGGTAGTGTACACACTTTATTACGATTTCATTGTCTCTTACCTTAACTTTGTGAGAAAACATTATTAAGAGAGCGTGTGTATTTGTATTTGAATCACTAAATGGTTAAGTAGTGATTGTGAGTATCATTTGTTTGGTCAAATGCAAGTGCTTGTGAGGTCAAATGCATTTTAGACACCTTTAGTTAGGTGTGGGGATTGTTTAATCCGAGTAGGTAAACAATTTTTTGTGATTGCTTTTGTATTTTTGAGGTAATTAATAAAAGTAACTAGGAATATGGATGACGTAGGCTCTGAGTTTAGCTAATCAGTAGATCTAAATGTTCTTATCGTTTTATCATACTGTTTCCCTTTTAACTTGATGTGTAATTTCAAAGTATAACTTTTTTTATATTTCTTTATACTAATTATATGAGAATAAATACTATGTATTGATTTCGTAGCATGCATCCGAGCAATTAATACAAATCGTAGCCCTATATGACAAACCATTAAATTCCAACCTTTATTCGATAAATCAAAGATCTTGAGACTCTTCCATGGAGTAAAGGAGAGAACTACCAAACATAGATCATTAATTATGAAAATCAAATGTCCAAAAACTCCTAGAAAAGGAGAGACAACCACACGTCCACACATAGCTTAAGTGGTTAGAGTTTCCCTCTCGATTCCAGGAGATTTTGGGATCGATTTTCATCACCTGCCCTTGTGGCTCTCTAAGCAAAAAAAAAAAAAAAAAAAAAAAAAAAAAAAAAAAAAGGATAAAAATAAATAAATTAAAACTTCCTCCATTTTATATTTTACGTTGTATTTGCTATTTATAGCGTTCTCTTTTATTTTATTAAATAACCCATAAAAACGCAATATGTTATATTTCACCTCCGCTTAATAATAAGTTCCATTTTATTAATTAAAAACATTGATTTTTGTGCCAAAGCTTTTTCTATTAACGTTTTTGGGTCATTTTGGCCCTCTAATTAGTTTCGACTTGAGGTCAGAATTGAAAAAGGTTATTGAAAATGCTTCATTTTGCATGCTAAGAATTACCTCATTTTGCGTGACACAAAAAAAAAAAAGCATTTTCGATACTTTTATTTGGTGTTTTGACCTTAAATCGGACTCATAGGGTCAAAATCGATAGAGCTAGTTTTAGCATGAAAATCGATAACTAACTTTTAGTCAATAAGAGGTGGTGAAATAAAACTATTTGCGTTTTTGTGCTTGGTTATTTAAAATAGAAGAAAAAACAGGTGGTTAAATCAAAATAGGGTGTTTTGAGGGATGGTAAAATATAATTAATCCTAATATTTTTAATACATTTTGTTTGTAACTATTTTCATTTACCATAATATTTACCGAATTCGACAACATTTATTGTCATTTACTAAAATATTTACCTACCCCAAAACAAATATTACCCCCTCCGCTTCACTTTGCTAGTCCCTTTTGGAATCAATCACTTAAAATAAGAAAAGGAGAAATCCTTATAATTTGGAATTTGATTAGAGCTTTGTAATTAATGTTTTGCCTTTCCTGTTTTATTTGTTTTATTTATGAGAATTGGATGTAATTAAATCGCCTATAATAAATCTCGATTGGAATAATTTTCCATGTTAGCTATCCACTAGCACATATATTAACCAATCAGAATTATTTGACTCTTTAAACACCCAATTAGATTAATTATTCATAGATTATGAAAATTATTTACCCTTTAATAATGTTAGGAATATATTCTATATGGGTATCATTTTGAAATGTCCAAAATACTATATGGGACTAACAAAATGAATTAAAATGGAGGGAGCATCATTTTATCTAGTCCTATAGCATTTTCTTAATAGCTGCAAAACAAATGTAACAAAAAAATATGAAATGAAGGGAGTATCATTTACTGCATAGTTATTGAGTTTTGAAAACCACATAATACACTACCAAATCATAGCCAATACAAGAAAATATTTTAGTGGGGCTTACTTTTTCTTAAACTCTAAGTAAAAAATTTGCTATTAGCTAGTTAGTTAGTTCCAAAACTGAACAAAGTCAACACACATTAAGTTTTCAGAAACTTTCACCAATGAATAAAAAAAGTTTCCCAAAATCATCTTAATTATTGAATAACTCCCCTGTATACTCTATTAAGGCCCTGTTTTTTTAGAGCTGCTCTGCTGAGCCCTATTCTGCTGAAATCTGCTCTGCTCTACTCTATTCTGGATTAAAAATAATAATTAATAATATCTTTAAAATAAATAATTAAAAATAACAACAACAATAATAATAATAAAACTAATAATTTATAATTAATATTTAATAATAATAATAATAATAATAATTCACAATAAAATTTATTAATATTTATAATAATATTAATTAATAATAACTTATAACAATTTCTAAATATATATTGATCATAATAATAACACATAATATTTTTTTCCTGAGAGAATAATAATACTTCATATTTAATAATAATACAAAAATATTATTTTATTCGGATGCATACGCTTGGCATACCAATCATTCAACATGATGCGAATATAGGAGTAGCAGATTCAACTATGTTTGCACAATGGCGCAAAGATAGTATGGCCAAAGTGCGACATCGTACAAGACGCCGAATTTGGAGGGCTAATCGGTCAGAAAGCGACAATGAAGATGATGAAAATAAAGATCATATGGAAGTAGATGGTTAATTCACCACGTTGTTAAACTCTTGTCTAATTATGTTCTTATTTTGATATGTGGTTGTAATAATTTGAAGATGTTAAACTATTGTCTTTTATCTTTCTACTAATAACATATGTTAAAGATGGTACACACCTATTTATGTTTTCATTCACCTAAATCAATGGTATGTGATTAGGGGATTTTTCCCCACCAATCACCATCTGACAAGTGGACCAATCAGGTTCCGCCATGTGTCCGTCACATGGGCCAATAGGAGCCTGCCACGTGTCAAGCAATGATCCGTCCACTATGGACCAATTACGACACGACACGTGTCCTTCCCATGACACCTGGGATAACCGGTCACCTAGGCCCAACTTCCGAGGGAAGCCCAATCAGCCCAAGGTTAACCTAAACCTAGATTGACACGTTTCCCGAGGTTATAAATACCTCCCTTAATCCTCATTAAGGGAGATTACACGCTAAAAAGCAGATTACACACATTAAACACTCTCACCTAGAGAGACCCAATCACTTTAATTTCCGCATTAATTACTCCTTAATCAAGTACTAACTTGACCGTCGGAGGCGGATCTCCAATCATCCGGAGCATCCGTTTGTTTTGCAGGTACAGGCGTCCGGTTCTAGTCTCGGAATTGTAACTCTCCCGCAGGACATCAGAAAACCCCGAAACATTTGGCGCCGTCTGTGGGGAGAGTACTTCTG